TCTCGGCAGGAAAGCGATTAAGCGCAATTTCCAAAAGGTTCAAGCATTTTAATTATGGGATGAGTCATCAACCCCATTAAAAAGGTGACAAAATATACGGAAATCCTCTGAAAACAATGTAAACAAAAGAGAGCTGGACTGTCTTAACAACCTGTATCATTTATTTAGTTATTCAGAACTTCTAGAAACAATGATTTTTACTTGGTCTTGCATCCCAATATTCCATAATGTCCAAACTAAATGTAGGAAAAGGAGTTGGTAGACTGTGAAAGGAAAGCATTGTTCATACATTCTAAGAAATGAGAGAAGCAGGCTGGGTGTATTCCCAGACTGGAAGATTAAATCTAAGTAAGGAAAGTAAAAGAGTTACCACTACTGGGGTGCTTTTGGGCAAGACCCTTAACCTGCAGCTGCTCTGCTGAAGCAGATGGATTAACTTCCTGGTGTGAATGTGTGTAAACATCCTGTTATACCTCAGCCCCAAGTGTTCATTTGGATTTGTTGCTTTCAAAAGCAATTTATGGTCAGTGAAATTACACAGTATTTATCAGCTTTTGAAAGAGGCAGAATATGTATATGGCGGATGTGTAGCCACAAAAAATAACTAAATGACAGCTTTGGATGGGAATAAAAACTACAAACAAACTTCTAATGCTATCCAATGTTTCATCCAAACAAAGGTTTAACACAAAGCAGTTCTTCTTCTGTCCAAACTGTAACAACTGTAACTGAAAACCTTTTTTTTGACATCTATGTTTACATAGAGACATAGAAATCAACCCATACATGCATACCGGACTTATGCAATCCATTAAAAAACATGAACGTCTTTTAATTTGTCTTTATTTAGAAAATACAGGCTGAGTCTCTTACAGCAAAAAGATGGAATTAGCATAGTGCGGGGCAGACTTAGTAGGCCCAGTGAGGTTTATAGTTCCTCCATCAATGCAGTGCAGACAGCACTTAACAATGAATGTCCTGATTGAGCCTCTTGATTGTGCTGTTATTTGTTCTGCTTTAGGTTGCTCCGCAGCAGCATTTTCCCAGCTGAATACAAAGAGACAGAAAAACAACATAAAGTGATTTATTATCCTGACAGTATGCTAATTGATGCCTATTTTATACAGTGCAGTGTAAGGTTTATACATAACAGAGTTGCATACCTCATTTGTTATGCTTCTTACAGATGGAAATATACTCCTGCACATCATCAGGGGATCCTAGGACCACAGGAACTCGCTGGTGGATGTTGGTGGGCTGGATGTCGAGAATGTTCATGGATCCTGTAGTGGCTATGCCTCCTGCCTGCTCCATGATGAAGGCCATGGGGTTGCATTCATACAGCAGCCTCAGCTGGAAGGCAAGAAGCAGAAATTGGTGTGACTTCATACAAGGACAAAATGTTTATTTGGGACTTTTACTGCAACTAGACATAAATTATATGAAATGATTCCATATTTAAACACTTTTTTGTCCATTTGTACAAACTCCCCTGCTCACCTTGCCCTTAGGACTTTTGACATTGGCAGGGTACAAAAAGATCCCTCCATACACCAAAGTACGATGAACATCAGCTACCATAGATCCAACATATCGACTGCCATATGGAGCTGAACCATCCTGGAAGCAGTAAAGTATATATTTAGAATCCAAAATATTTTGTATTCATTTCCACAATATAATTAACGGTTAGCGAATTCCACATTAAGCCTTCGCAAGTGCCATTACCTCTGGGTATTTCTTCTTTTGTAGGTACTCTGTCACATCTGGATAAAAATGCTGTGCATATCCCTCATTCAAACTGTAGATTTTTCCCTTTTTCTTAATCTTTACATCTCGATCCACCAAGATAAACTCGCCAATTGCCTAAAAAAGAAATACAAAGAAGTAATGAGAAACCAGAATATCACAATGAAGAAACATCCAAACTGAAATAATGAGCAAAAAGGAATCAGAGTAACAAAACAATATACACAAGTATCAGTTCTGATGCCATGTATTACAGTAAAACCTTGGTCTTACGGGGTCAAGCATGAAACAGTTGACTCCTTGACCAGTGGAGAGGACCATCATTGTGGCACTGCCATACAGTGCATAACCAGCTGCCACAATGTTTCTTCCAGACTGCAGAGCATCCTTCTCAGCTGGCTCACCATCTGTAGTCTGTTGAACAACACACGAAAAAATATAACAAGAACCGGAAGATGCATTTTGGTCAACGATTGTTGACACTGCCAGTTGGAATGCTATTTTCTTTGATAAGGATACAGAGCAGGATGATACAGTAGACATGACTATTTTTATGGATTTAGGGCCTCGGTACCCTTGGACTTGCGTATATGTACAGGGGAAGACCCTACCAGAAGCGGAAAAAGCATTCAGATGTTTTTATTAAGTAAAAGTACCACAATGTAAAAATACTGCCTTATAAGTGAAAGTCTTACATTGACATGTTAAAGTTAAAGTACAGAAGTATTATAAACTAAATGTTCTTAAAGTATCAAATGTAAAGGTAGTCATTATATAGAAAAATGGCCCATGTGGTTGTAATATTATATATTACAGGACATGATTATCATTACTGATGCATTAATGTCCTTAGAAAAGTATCAAGTAGCATATAATGGAAGTAAATTATATTTTCTGTAGCCTGCTTCAAAACTGCACAGGATCTGAGTAAATGTACTTAGCTACATTCCACCACTAGACCTTACTTTTTTATTTTACAGATGTCTGCAGAACTCTAGAGTGGATTTTCAGAAGAAAATATGAATTTTGGGTAAATAATAAACAGTGTTTTGAATCAGCATGCTGTATCACTGTTACTTACCTTTTTGTAGATGGCAAAAATTGTTCCAATCGAGACAAGACAGTCAATGTTTGAGGAACCATCCAGTGGATCAAAGCACACAATGTATTTTCCCTGTCAGATGAAAAAAAATCGTTTTAACTATGTCACAATAATACCAGAAAAAATGTGAAAATCTAAGACAAAATGAAAAACGTCAGATATTTGCACAGACATGCATGAACATACTGTACAGATATAAGTACCCGCTTGTCTGGTTCCACAATGATGGCCTTCTCATCTTCCTCTGACACAAGCACACAGGAGGTGAAGGAGGACTTGATCATGTTGATGACCAGGTCATTGGACAGAATGTCCAGTTTCTTCACCTGGTCCCCTGTCACATTTGTGCTTCCAGCAATGCCATATCTTCCAGGAGAGGAGCAGACAGAAGTGATCAAACCCTGAATAAAAGCTATCCTTTCAGAGGCAATTTTACACTACAATAGATTTTTGTTAAACTATTGCACCAGTGAGAAAAGTCTGAAAAGCCCATTATCTTCTTGACCTCTGCCCTGGGGAAATGTACACAACATGTACAGAGTTTACCTTTGGCCAGGGCCAGAGTTAAAACAGCTTAATGATTATCATGTCGTACTGCATAAACCCAGATATCATTTCGTTTTTTAAACACACTTAATTTAAAGAGAGAAAAGACCATGAACTTGAGCAAAATAGAAATTGAAATCTGCTAACCTGAAAGTAACGTTAAGATAAAAGCAAAAGGAAGTCAACAAATAATAGTGATTGATTGATTTACAAATGTTTAATATGGTGCATACTGTTGTTCCATCCTCGTGAATTTGCCCATTAATTATAAGACACCCTTTAACTCCACTATATATACAGATACATGCGTTTCCTTCTATTATTCACACCTTGGAATAAAACCATTAAAAAAGAAATACTACTCACAGGTTAGCAATCCCAGCCTTCCTGACAGCAGTTGAGATGGCTTTGACAGCTGTGCAGATGGAGTTGAGCAGGGTTGTCAGCTCACCTGTTCCATGGGCCTTCCTGCCCTCCTCCAGAACAAACCTGGTGAGGGTCACCACATTGGTGTCGAAGGCTCCTTTGTCAGACATTTTGCTGTCAGGAGTGGGACTGGGACCTAATGTCTTGAGTGAAATAGGTGTGCATGGACCCAAAGTTAAAAAGTGGACTTAGTGAACTAAGATGGGGGGAGGGATGGGGGTGTGCAGCTCTTCTAACCAATCAAAAGTGTCCTTTCTCTTAGTTAGTGGTTGGTTTGATCGCTTCTGTAACTGCAGGTTTAAAAGACCAAAGTTCAAAGATAGCGACTTTTTTTTGTTTTAAAGTAACAATGACCTGTAACTGATTCAATCCCGGCTCAGTTCAATTTGTGTTTTTTTTTTTTTTGTCGCACTTTAAAGCTCTACTAAATACAAGTTGTGAGTGACATTTTGAATGAACAAAATCACTTTATTAAGTTAAAATTGTGTGATGTTAGACTTCAAAGTGCACTTCGTCTCAACACAATTGGATTTTGTTTCATTGTATTCATGCTGCAGAGGTGCATAATTATCCCAAAATCTTTTAACAGAAACAATCTTTTTACAGCCCTGCGATGGACTGGCGACATGTCCAGAGTGTACCGATTTCAGCTGGGACAAAAAGCAGCACAAAAAGTTCTTGTAGTAAATTCCCTTTTTGTTTTTTTAGAATTAGTGCAAAGCTTGCACTAGATATTTTACGACATTACTGAAACTGCTTTAACATTCTTTCCCTGCATGATCCTGAAGAAGTGTAAAGTTCAAATCATGGGACTCATTGTACTTGTTCATCCTACCTGAGTTTATATAACACATTGCAAACTGTATTTTGAGGTAATACACAGCCACATTCAGAGGGAGTGGTGGTGCATCTTGTCTCTGTTTCAGTGTATTTCTACATGCATGTAAATAGTGTATCGCTGTTTGTGTCTGTGACACAAACATGGAAAGGTAAAAGGACTTACTGTCCTGTATTCACACTTAAGTTAAAGTTGAACTTTGAACTTAACAAGATAACAGGTACGATAATAGCCACCACCATGATGTAATGTTTGGTGGTTAATCACACAGCTTTCATAGTTTTTTCAGGTTAATGATGAAAATGTAGGTGGAAAGGTCAAATCAGCATGTGAGCAGTACAAAAATTACACAATGGATTTTCATTTAATTAATGATTTTTGTTCCAACACACACACACATCCACAATAGTTCAAATCAATAAATCCTTGTAAAGAATATAAATGACACTTAAATGAAATATTTCTTTCCTGGTTGTCCCAGTCAAACTCAAGTTAAGTGTGGTAGTGCTGGTCTAGTGTAGAGCACAAAATGTAATATTCCTCTGTGTCCACATGATGTCGCTGTGCAGCTTACAAGCTGGTATTGAAACCTGCTGTTAACTCTGCTGTGCATGAATCAATGTGCTCTGAATCAGTTTGAGCTTTTTAGTTCTCTGCAAATAAAAACAATCACTTAATGTCAAAGTGGCCTTCGGCGAGATACTGAACCAAATTCCTCCTGAAGGCTGTGCCATCAGTGTGTCAATAAGTGCGTTTGACTTCATGCGGCGTTGCGCTGACTTCACGTAATACATGGCAGACTTAACATAAGGCATGCTGGTTAGAAATTGTCCGACTTCAAAACTGCAAAACGTCACTATGTCACATGACATTAAAACAAGGCGGCTGCAGGCGCCGAGTCCGGCGGCCGCAGTTGCTTTTCTCCGGCTGCACAAAGTTGAAACCACACTTTTGCCTGATCTCGCAGCATTTTTCTTTGAAATTGATCTCAGCTCGCAGTAAGCTCACGCAGGTAGAATGTGTCCGACTTGACGGCGCCGTTTTAATTCCCCGCCCCTGCTCTCGTTACCATCAAGTCGGCGAAAGTCAGCCGCAGACATCTCGAACGCACATTTATGTGAATGTGTTCATAACTGCTCTGGTAAGGCAGCACCACCATGCAGCATGTAAGAGTGACCAACTTCTTTTTTGCCATTGATTAATGTGTTAAAACAGTGGAATGGTATAGTTAAATCCACAAATAATATTCGAACAAAGAATAATGTGCGGTTTTTTTTTGTTTGTTTTTTTGCTTTAGAAAACTGACAAAAAGTGAATTTGTCTCCCAATTATGCTACTGGAGGAAAAAGTGAATTTAGGTACTCTTTATGCTGTGTAATCAATTTAATAGAAAATATATCAATAATTTACGAGGACTATTCATCACCTGACTGACTCCCAGGAGCACCTGCTGTTCATGTTGACAGCATTCAGCACATGCGCAGTGGTTGTCTTACTTCAGTGAAAACTTTTTTCTTCACAGGGAATGGCGTTTCACAAGCAAAAAGGGTGAAGCAGTGGAGGAAAATGACGAATTCCCGATCGCATTAATGTAAATGAGCTATTCGACCTTTCCCAACTGTTAAGGCTACTGTGTGACGTTATTTTTAACTTCAACATCACACAAAGTTGTTGTCGTTGTCCACCTGCACAGGTGAGTGGCATCTCATCACATAACACATTAGCCAGCTAATGTTGGCCAACAAGTGAAAACGCGCTAACGTTGGTCTCAGATTTTCATCCAAAGAGTGATTTTTATCATTTTTAATTTTAAGAAATTATCTTGTAATTCACAAGAAAAAAAGCAAAATTGGAGGAAAGTCTGAAAAAATGTACATAGTTTGGTGTAGCTGATATAGTTTTTTATTCCTGTTTACTTATAATGACCCCTAATCATATAATGACCCCTTAGACTTGTCCTACCCCTTGTGGTGGTGACCCCAAGTTGAGCCCACCGCCCTACACTTACATCCATAACAGAATATCTTAATGATCACATCTCATTAACAGTTTGCAACAGTTAAATTGGAAAATTAAATGCGTAATAGTATTTCCCAAAATTTTTATGACCCACTATACTGAATATCCAGCCAATATTGCATACTGATTTCCAGTGGTTGGAAAATGGCAAATCTGCCGCACTCAACAAAATTATTATTTTTATCATAAATATACTGTAGATAACAATATGAATTCAGTGCTCACATACATCCTAATAAATATGACATTGTGCGCCAGGTTATTTGAAAACACCACCTATGTAATGCTACTGAAGTTAAGTCTAATAAACTTACTAGATGTGTAACAGATAAATAATATAATCCACTTCATTGAAATTAAACCAGTTCGCTTGGATTCAAACACAATTTTAATTCTACAGCTGTTTGACAGAAACAGATACGTGTCTCACAAACAAAAATAGATAGAAGTCTTGTGAAATAGCAGGTTGATGACATTTTTTAATCTAAGGCAACAACAACTACATAATACTGTCAGTCAACCATAACTGAAGCAGGCCACATACTGTGTTGATAACCTATCACTGACATCTCTAGTCACATATGATGTTTGAGTCAAGAAGTAAAGCATACTGTATTTGGTGTGCCAAACTATCATGGGCACACATATAGAGAAGACAAATCCCAATAGCCCCTGGGTGTCAGTCTGTGTGTAAGTTAGTGAATGATTAATTAAATGAGGCTATGTGAGTTACTTTGTGAATACATAAGTATTAAAATATATTTAAGTAATGCTGTTTATGTATGCAGTACGATGTTTTGATGTATCTGACACGAAAAGGCATAAAGCATACATGCATTTAAATCTCATGTGTAAATTGTATGTCTTTTTGTCTTTCTTTGACTCTCTAACCCATTCATACTTTATCTGTTAGTTCCAGATTCTGTTTTCAAGCATTTTCTTCTTTAACTGCATACTTGACTCTACTTTCATACAATGAGTTTTCCCAAGTCACTCAGTAACATTCATCTGAGAGCAGCAGAAATAGTACTTTGGGTCATTGTGGCTGACTCTAAAGAGAACTTGCTAAACTTATTGGATTTATTGCCTGAAGCTTGATGTCATTTCTACTTGTTCACTCTGGCTTCAGATGAATAATAGAGTGTCTTTAGATGTCAGTGTGCAGACAGCCTGAGTTTTGAGATTTATTTTTATTTTTATATATATACCAATTTTTTACTTACAAATACATACATATGCTATATGTTACAAATGTTAGTGATCCATGTTTAATTGACTACAGAGATGGAGACTGGTGGTAACACCTGGGTGTTACAGATGTACATAAATGTTAGGAATTGTATTTACATGAAGTTACTGTTTTACAGCATACTAAGCATATTGATGTTGACAGCAGTATATTTTACATAATTTGGCAATTCTTTATACTCAGTTCTGTGATATTGAGCTCTATTACGATGTTTTTTCCCCAAATTTGTCTCGTATGCATATTACATGTTCTTTTCACTGTTGTGTCCTAATGCCTTTGCTTATGGAACAATCTAATTTATCCTAACTTATCTCATGTAATCCTATTTTATACAAAGACACAATTCAGCTAATGACAAATATAAGGGACTCTATGAAAAGAAAAAACATATACTGACTCCTGAACTTCAAGGCCATTCACAACCACGCTCCTCCGTACCTCACTGACCTCATTCACATCATCACACCCGCCCATACTCTTGGGTCTTCATCTATTCACCTCACTACACCTCGTGCTCGTTTGACCACCACAGGGGTTTAGAGCAATCAGCCGTTCTGCCCCTCGTCTCTGGAACTCTCTACCACCAGACGTCCGTAACAAATACTCGCTTTCCATCTTTAAATCTCGCCTGAAAACACATCTTTTTAAACTGGCATATCCATCATGATCACTATTTATCTGTTCACACCAATCTTTTGTTAAAAATTGTTTATGTACACTGATTTTATGCACTGTAATTATAATTAATTTTATTGATTTATTGCTATACTGTTGTTTTATGTTTTGTGAGGTGACCTTGAGTGTTCTGAAAGGTGCTTATATATAAAATGTATTATTATTATAATTACTGTACAAGACATTGACACAACTAAACCTTATGTGCATTCTTTGTGAAAAACCTCCACATGCTGAGAAGAGAAGGTGCTTACTGATGAGAAAGTGATATGGCATTACAATGTGATGAGTCACTGTTGTGCACTGAGGCTTAGCCTTTTGCTCACTGTACTTTTGCAGAATTAACTATAATATGTCATGGCCTGGTGTTGCATTTCCTTTATGTAAGCAAAGTAAGGTTAGCTGTTATTGACTGCTAGACCTGGACTGGGAGAGAGAAAGAGACTGAACCAGTAATGCAGTAGGACAATACATGCACTGTAAAAGCTAGTTATTAAGATGCGAAGCATGGTTAACTCCATTTTTCTTTTATTTACAGACCTATTCAGAGTTCTAACTGGATATAAAGGAAGCGCTCCATTATTGATATTTTGTGAATCATATTCATGGCTCAAGGCAGATACATCTTGAGAAATGTGTCAGGTAACTACTACTATTACTTTCCCAATAACTTAAATGCTATTTTTTGCGTGATGTGGATTTTATAACTTTAAATTTATAATAGTTATAATGGAATTTAAAGATTGTAAAGAAGGGAATATCTCAATCAACTTAAACATTCGTCTCAACTAAAGTGTCCAAATTTACAATTTGAATACAGTTATACCTGTTTCATGAATTAAAATGTGTATTATGTTAAGTGTTTGATAAATGAAAAAGATTTGTTACTTTTTGTGTTTACTGGCTGAAATACTTGGAAGATGTCTGTGGTTGAGAAATCCTGCCAAGAGTATGGTCAGGCATTTAGAGGGAAAGTTGCAGAATAATTATAGAGTGGGTCCAGTCTATGTAGAGAGACATACCATTTGGAGAGAAGTAACTACTGAAAACAGTGTCTACACGATTGGTAAATCCTCCTCTGTCACTCCTCTTACTGTGGGACAGGCTCAGAGAGATTTTAGTCAAAAACATTTGGAGGTGATGGAAGGAAGACTCTAGACTCAAATTGAAAAGGTCACAGATGAGCGTCTAATACTGAGGTAAGGAAAGAAAGAAACTGTAAGGGAAAAAAGTATATAGCATATAGTACAAAGAGATTGTATTTTCCGTAGCATATTGTGGTTTTTGACATTTTTTTGTCCTGAAGAATTTAGAATTGCAATGTTCAGTATCACTGGTTTTTTGTTGTAATGTATAGTTTTACAGTTTAAATTTAAACCCAAAACATATGAAATTTTATTAATTATTTTTTTATCATATGCAGTCAGGACATTTTCAGACATTCCCACATGGTATGTGTTTTAGATTTCCCACTTTCCAGCCCAGTGTTTGGACGGTTTTGTTTTACGCTGCAATAGTATTAACCTATAGCTATTCCACAATTGGTCCAACAGGTCAAAGCACTGAAGAGTGTATTCCTAATTATCTGGGGATTGACTACAGTTATCAGTCGGACGTGGACTACCTCAGGTGTGCGGACAGCTTCCAAAAGGGCACCACCATTAAGCGGCTAAGCCTTAAGAGAAGGCCCAGAGTGGCCATCAATAATGTGGAAAAAACACAGAGTGGCATTTCATCCAGCCAGTGGTATTCTGCAGAATCCTTGTCGTCATATAGCAGTGATAATACAAGACTACTGGGCATGTCTTCTACTACCAAAGGTCGACCTCCTCTTCCTCCACCACATGGTTCCTCAATGGATAACAAACCCTCCAGGAATGAAGGGCCAGCTACCTCTCAGATACTTAGTGAGTCAAAGCCTCAGCCTGCTGCAAGATCTCTTGTTTTACAAAGACAAACCCCTGTGCTGGAAAAGACCATTGTGGAGACCCACAAACATTTGGACCAGGAGGTGAAGAGCCAGCCTCCACCTCAGCCACATCCTCGTCGTCGACTGGCCAGTTTTGGAGGGGTAAGCTCCCCTGGGTCACTATCCCCGTTCACGGGCCTAGGTGCATATAATCAGAACAACAATGGGAATAAGCCTAGTGGCACAGGAGGTGATATCCATGTCCAGCTTAGCTCATCGCTGGGCAGTAGAGGCAGTACTGGATGCCTTAAGCTAAGCCCACAGAGCTCTGGTAGAACCACCCCAGTTACAACTGTTGGCCCCTTTCACCTGCAGCATGTCCGTGACCAGATGGTAGTAGCCCTGCAGAGGCTGAAGGACCTGGAGGAGCAAGTGAAAATCATCCCTATCCTCCAGGTAAAAATCTCAGTCCTTCAGGAGGAAAAGAGACATCTGGTCTCTCAGCTCAAGATCCAGAGTGACAATAAGGACATGAATGATGTGATCTGGAAGAGCGCATATAGCATAGAAAGGTCTGACATTGAGAACAAAGTGAATACCGAAGATGGACTTGAGGGCAGAGTGAGAAGTGACTGCACCGACCTCAAGGAGTTCAAGCAACTAGCTGAAGAGATGCAGACATTGGAAAGAACCATCAAGGGAAGGCATTTGCAAGCGTGGCACGGAAAAGGCCATAACCATCTGCATGACAAGTCTATGAAGTCAGTTGCAGTTGTAACTGATAAAGATATAGATATTACCTTGTCTAAACCAACAAAAGAAAACAAATATGTATACACTGATAAAGTAGAGACCAGGTCCATTGCAACAGGAGTGTCTGAAGTTAATCTTGGAATTTACACAGAACAGGAAGCAGAGCTTGATGCACAACAACTAATAATTGGTGCCTTGAATGAGAGAATTTGTCACTTAGAGGCAGAGTTGAAAGAATCAGCACTCCAGACAGAGATGAGTCGTCTGAAACTGGAGCTTCAGGCTGCAGGAGCTAGGAACCGAACTGATAAAGCCTCCTTTGCTAGGCCATCCACTGTGAGCACAGGCATCGATGCAAGGCCTCACACCAAAAGCCAGGGAGTGGGTAATCACACAGAGCACCGAGACGCCAGCACAGGGGAGGTTACAGAGGTGAAGACTATGGGAGTATCTTGCTGTAGGCCTGAACTGAAGGATGTTTGCACAGGACCAGATGTACCCATGAGCCACTGGGATGTCAGGGAGCGAGTGGAGACCATGGAAAAGGGTGTGGGGATCCAGGTTTTTACAAACACAGAAGGAGTTGGGATGGAGATAAAGCTATGTGATGCAGAAACCAACACAGAGGTAACAGTGGAGAATCTGAGGTCTAATAAAGGAAAGATTGAGTATCATTCGGTGGCTTGTGGGGACTGTTCTGTTGATGTGATCATCTCTGAGGCAAAGGAAATGGTTTCTCAAGGTATTGCCACAGTCAGAGGAGTGGATCTTGGAATTATGGCATCACCTCAGACAGCTTCTCAGCGTACCAACACTGTATCCAATTCAGTGTCTCGCTTTACCAATACCAGACATGCCTTCAACACAGACTCCAGCACTAATACTGTCTTAAGTACCCAGGAAAAGCACACCAACACCACTCAGACTGTTACTAGGACAGTGTCAGTAGGCAACAGGGACAGCAAATGCACCCCATTGACCCGTACAATTGGTGTTGGAACTTCAAATATGCTAGCGAGTGCCTTAAAACAAACACCAGAAATAGTCACCAAGGTAACACGAGACACTGGTGTTGGATTCACTGACATTAATGAGAATTTCCTGGTTGGACTGAAAACCCGAAATATGGCCTCTGGACCGTCCCATCTACCGGACCCCATCAAGACAAGGAGCATCGGTGTAGGGGAGGGGAGGATACGGGATTTGTCAGTTTCATCCAGGAAACCTGGCCAGATGTTCCAGGAATCTTCACATTCCCAGTGGGACCCTGAGCTGAACCATTACATAGAGAAGATGCATAGGCTCCTCGGGGAACATGGGGACCTGCTCACAGAGGACAACACTCACCAGAAAGAAGGGTTTGTCCAGCAGCACAGTAGCAGAGGAAATGCCAGCTCCACACTGTCCTGCAACAACAGAGCTGCAGCACAGGCAGAAACAGTCCATCTTTTAGACTCTCAGCCACCAGGTAAAACTATAGGGCTGTGGTATTCTTGTAAACAAAATCTTATATTTACATAGTATTTCACCAAAAAGCGTTGTGTGTATTCTTAAGGCCTGGAAAATTTGATAAACAAATTTCCTCATTAAACATTTGCAAGCTTTGGTATTTACATCCAAGCAGTCTTCTTTTACCCTTCATTTGCTGGTTCATTGCTACATTTACTGGCATTTTGCCGCCACCAATTCTCCGTCAGTGGAATAGCTTGAAACTTGTACATCATAGAGCTTCAAAAACTCTACTAGGCACCTTTAATGTTGCATTATTATTATGTAATATAATGGATATAATATCTGTAATGTCATGCTGTTACTATTCAAAACCAAATGTCTATTTTTGTCGTAGTCAGCAGAGAGTTTCAGTCTTCACTTCAACTGTCAGTTGACTCTTCTAAGTGTGACAAAGCAAAGCCCGGAATCTGCCAACAGGGTGGCAATGATTCAGAGGTGAAAAGAATGATACTGATGTTAGAACAACAGGCATCCTCTGCTCTGCAAGGTAAACATGCATGTGTGTTTGTGTGTGTCAGTCTGTTATAAAGTTCATCTTCACGTGAAATACAGTAGACACTAAGTGGATAAAAAATACTGTCTGTGCGAAAGTTGTCTAGTTTAAAAATATTTTACTTCCAGACCACTCCCGAGGCCCAGTTCAAACTTGTCTTAGGTTTTAGAGGAAGTGGTTGTCTTTGGCTTGGCAAGTTGACCTTCTGAAGGATACACTTGCAATGTTTGGAATGATATCTGGTTTTGAAAGGCGCCTCGTACCACATACCAGTTTGTGGCTGAGGATCTAAAATTGAATGGCTTCGTAGGAGGAGTTGGTGTCAGAGAAAGCTTTCTCTTTTAAAATGAGGCCTTCACATTTGTAAGAATATAGCATCATGAATATGTCCTCATTGCTGCCTAGTCATGCCCAGATTGACCTAGTGGATTTGTATCTGTTTCTTTACATGTGTTGTATTTATTAAAATACACTGCAGATAACACAATGCAAAATAATTAAGTGTTGTGTATGTTAAGATTCAGAGGCATGAGCTGTATTGTTGTTTCTAGACAGGTCAACTAATGACAGTGTGCTGCAGTCTGTAAAGAAGAAACAGACTGGTGACCAAGGCTGTAGCAGCAACAGGAAGAGCATGAAGTTTATGAGGGTGACCACAGGGTAATCATTTAATCCCTTATATTTTCCATAAAGAATCTTTATCTTAACATATTTTCAGTGTATTAACTTGTGGTTTTCATCCTTAGATTGGACCCCATGTCATCTTATGCACTCTCTGTTAGTGATAAGGCAGAGGAAGTAGAAAGGAGAGGAACCAAAAAATTAAAGGAGGCTTCTCAAGATGCGATGCAAGCAAAAAAGGCCAAAGGTGTCTCCATCAAGGGATCGAAAGGGTCTGCAAAATCACACACACAACAGAGGTAATGTAGGCATCCATAAGGTTTTAAAGCCACAAAATCTCAGTTAAATAAGATCACAGCATTGAAAATCCATCCATAAATATTGATATTTTACTGTGTCAGTCTACCTTTCAGAGGTCTGAACTCCCACCATGTAACCTGTAGCATTTTTTATTCCTTTCAGGTGCAAGTTAAGTGAAAAGATGTTTTCTGCTTGTCAAGCCTTAAAGTTGCACCTGAGTGATGACACAGCTTTATCCAGCAGGGAATTGGTATGTTTTCTACTCTATATTCAGTGTAAGAGCCATTAAAGGTTACTCTGTGTGTGTGTGTGTGTGTGTGTGTGTGTGTGTGTGTGTGTGTGTGCGCGCGCACATTTAATAGTATGTCAGTGGATGGGCGTGGAGAGTTGCTGGGGTGTGTTCAAGTATGTCATTTAAAAAGAAATGACTTTGGCTTTAGATACAAAAAGTGCAGGAATGTGTAGGCTCTGTAATTTTCTTTCATTGCATTCACAGTGACCATGTCTTTCACTCCACAATACCATTGTGAAATGAAAGCAATTCATCACTGTTGCGCTGATTTGGTAAACAGATATAGAGGCGTGGAGCTCAAAAGAATTATATTGAAAAGGAAAATCAAGACAGATTTTATTATGAAACTCCTGCTGCAAACTTTTTTTGTGGATTAAATGAAGACAGCTTCCTAAGCCTCTTCCTTTATGATGTTGTTTTGGAGATTTTAAATGTGTATTGTTGCTTTGTTATGATGTTTGTCTGTGTTCTTTCAGTCACATTGCTATGATTACAAGATGTTACTTCAAAGTAGAAAGTAGTTGTCAAAATTACGCTATGCACTGTGAATTACGACAACTTGCAAGGCATTTTTATGAGGATACATAAAAAAAAGATAGAATTTTTTATTTTTATATTCACATACCTGGGTTTTTTTTTCTTTTGTTCTTTGCAGCAAGACTGTCTGCAAACACTCCAGAAAGAGTGGTTCTCTGTGTCCAGCCACAAGTCAGCTGCTCCTGAGACGGTGGAGGATTACTTGTCTATGTTTCGGGTCATTTCTCCCTCAGTATTGCAACATATAGCTAATATGGCTGACGGCAATGGAAACACAGCTCTGCACTACAGTGTGTCTCACTCCAGCTTTGCAATTGTCAAGAAATTGCTTGATGCAGGTGCAGTAATACCGGAGGTCACTGTGTAGTCTAACAACGTTCAGTCTTTTTCATCTTTTCTGTCCCTCGCTGTGAGAATATATTTTTGGGACCGCTGCACTGAAGCAGTACTTGTATCTCAATTCATGAAAGTAGAAGTAAAATAGTTGAGTGATTCTCACAAGTTCTGAAATGCTACAGCAACGCATGTAATTTCACTAACCTGTAGAGGAGATCTGACCGACCTCTGTCTGTTTTAAGGCCAGGTTGAATAGAAGCATATAATCAGCAAAAAAGTAAACAGGTCTAATCCTCTGTGTCACAGAGGGGTTATGTTTAAAATGTTCCTGATGGAAAAAGTTCAACTAAAGCTTTTATTAAATTGCTCAAAATTCAGACCTCACCCTAAAAAGGCAAGCTAATCTACATCCACTACATTGTCCTTGTAATCTATATCTGAAAATGAGAAAATAACAAAAATGGTCCCCAATTGATAGTCAGTCAAGGTAGTTTGATGCTTCACAGGATGCGCAGTGAGTGTTTTAGATGCTCATTCTTGTTGTCATGCTAGAATATAAACTATGTAGAATTTTAGTACTCACAAAATACAAGGTTTTGAGCTTTTAATTGCACAGCAGCAATGAAGCCACGGTTATTTGCGGACACACAGCATAATGGGTTTGTGTTATTGCTTTAATTAAAGCATGGTTTTTGAGAGCGCTAACATCTTTTCCAGGTTTCTGCATATACATCTGTGCACATGAAATAACTTTGACAAGGGACTTTTTATTGGACATTCTTATGTAGAAAAAGCTTTTTTTATTATTAAGTATTTGAAACTTGGTACCCTCAGTATATGAGGAAAGAGTTTGCAAGTACCGCCAATAAGTAAAAAAAATAAATAAGATGTACCTCTTTCTTCTTTACATCTTTCTGCTTTCCTCTCTTTTGTTTTTTCTCACCGGACCAATTGTCCACCATCTCATCAGATGTGTGTAACGTGAATCAACAGAACAAGGCAGGTTACACATCTATCATGCTGGCTGCACTCGCAGCTGTGGAAAGTCCAGAGGACATGAGAATTGTGGAGCAGCTCTTCACAAAGGGAGACGTCAATGCCAAGGCCAGCCAGGTGAGTCTGTTCTGAGGTAATGGGTGTGATGTCCTGCTGTTTGACTAAATTGTGTCCATATGTTGCTGTAAGAGTGTAATGAGGAAAGAGTGAAAAAAGTGTGAATTGTCTTATTCCACAAACAAGCTGTGAATCTGTATTTGTAATGCTTGAGATGTGTGGACTGGGCATCATTAACCATCTTTCTTTTGTTTGACCCTTGCCTTCTGCTGTCCAGGCTGGTCAGACAGCTCTGATGCTGGCTGTGAGCCATGGCAGGATGGACATGGTGCAGTCCCTCCTGGCACAGGGGGCGCAGGTCAATCTCCAGGATGACGAGGGCTCCACGGCACTGATGTGTGCAAGCGAGCACGGGCATGCTGACATTGTTAGACTACTTCTGTCACAGCCAGACTGTGATGCCACCCTGACTGACAGTGTATGTGAATCATTACTGCCACTCTGGGCAGCTTCTGTGAGCCTGGTGGCTGCAAGCTGTGAAGCTGAAACATTCCAACTTTTCACATATTGTATTAAAACATTTGTTTAATTAAATATGTCAGGGAAACAAAGGGGTAGATTTGTATAATTAAATATTTACAGGATGCTTTTTTCCATCTGTAAATGTACAATAAACAGCAAAACATCTCATAATGTATGAGTTTGTGTGTTTACAGGATGAAAGTACAGCCCTGTCCATTGCACTGGAGGCAGGACATAATGACATTGCAGTGCTCCTTTACGCACATGCCAACTTCTCCAAAGGACAGACAGGGGTATGTGGATCAACTATTTCACACTAACACTTAAACTAAGTATATATATGGAAAGTTTAAAAAACTTTTTTATTGTGTTTGTCCCTGTGTGTATTTGTCCTTAACAGGCAGCTGCTCGTCACTGTGGCAAGCCTCTCTTCCTCTGGTGGTAGAAATATTTTTGAATGAGCTGATACCCTGAAGTCTGAATGCTTACTTCTTGAATCTTCTGAGGTGATTCAGTTTCACGAAATATAACAAAAGGAGGAGATATTACAGTGTCAGCTTCAATCTTATAGTTGGATACCGAGTTATTCTCCAATGACAATGATATATTGCAGTGTAGCATTTGTATTATATTGTGTGTATTGTATTGTAACTCAGCAGGTAATATATGCATGACAGAGTATATTACTATTCACTGTTCATACAAGATAATAGTTATTGTTGTATCCTGCATCCTCCTGTCATCTATTATAGACCATCACTAAAACGTTTCTTTAACTATTTTAATTTGTTTTTTTATAAATATTTATAATTGCAATATTTTATAATTGCAAAAGAGAATAAGATACAATAAAGTACACAGTACAATAGCATCAAACTTCAAAATGTTAGAGCAAATATGTAAATGAATAAAATATAGATCATAAATATCTACAAGTAGAAGAAAAATAAGTTAATTATCTTAATTGTTATGAAAACAAATGTATTATATTTAAAAGTTGATACTTCTGCTAGATCTATACTGCTTTACTCAAAGAATTATGAAGCATGATATATATTTTAAACATGTTTAATTGAGTCATTTTACCAAACTCCAAAGCTAAATGCAATTACACACACTATAGCTCTTCTGTTTCTAAGATTCGTGGGAGGTTGTGTTGTTAATGACATGTACTATAAAGGTATATTTCAACATTTTGGGACATACAGTGTCTCACAAAAGTGAGTACACCCCTCACATTTTTGTAAATATATGATTATATCTTTTCATGTGACAACACTGAAGAAATGACACTTTGCTACAATGTAAAGTAGTGAATGTACAGCTTGTATAACCGTGTAAATTTGCTGTCCCCTCAAAATAACCATACCATAAGTGTTGATGACCCACTGGTTGAAAATACAGGTTTTCAACTGGTTGAGGTACTTCTAATACTACTAATGTGAGAAAACATTCATCCAAGACACCCACTGAAAACTGCTGAAACCTTTTGAATGTAGAAAGGAGGAAAAAAGGCTCCACAAAGGCTTTTGTGATATTGATATACCATTGACACCATCTGAGTTTATCTTGGTCTCAATGGACCACAGGACATCGTTCCAGTAATCCATGTCCTTAGTCTGCTTGTCTTCAGCAAACTGTTAGCGGGCTTTCTTGTGCATCATCTATAGAAGAAGATTCCTTCTGGGATGACAGCCATGCAGACCAATTTGATGCAGTGTGCGGCGTATGGTCTGAGCACTGTCAGGCTGACCCCCCCACCCCTTCAACCTCTGCAGCAATGCTGGCAGCACTCATATGTCCATTTCCCAAAGACTACCTCTGGATATGACGCTGAGCACGTGCACTCAATTTCTTTGGTCGACCGTGGCGAGGCCTGTTCTGAGTGGAACCTGTCGTGTTGAACCGCTGTATGGTCGGCCACCGTGCTGCAGCTCAGTTTCAGGGTCTTGGCAATCTTTTTATAGCCTAGGCCATGTTTATGTAGAGCAACCATTCTTTTTTTCAGATCCTCAGAGAGTTCTTTGCCATGAGGTGCCATGTTGAACTTCCAGTGACCAATATGAGGGAGTGTGAGAGCAATAACAACAAATTTAACCCACCTGCTCCCCATTCACACCTGAGACCTTGTAACACTAACAAGTGAAATGACACCAGGGAGGGAAAATGGCTTATTGGGCCCAATTTGGACATTTTCACTGAGGGGTGTACTCACTTTTGTTGTCAGAGGTTTAGACATTAATGGCTGTGTGATGTTATTTTGAGGGGACAGCAAATTTACACTGTTATACAAGATGTACACTCACTACTTTACAAGTTTCATTTCTTCAGTGTTCTCACATGAAAAGATATAATCAAATATTTACCAAAATATGAGTGGTCTGCTCACTTTCGTGAGATACTATACACGTCCTTTGCTTTCTGTCTTAGCATTAGATAATAAGGTTGATACTATTCTCACGTCTGTTAGTTAAACATGAAGCTACAGATCACACAAAAGATATATAATGTGTTAAGTGAGCTGTAGAGGTGCTTGTAAGCAAATTTGTTCTTACCCCTTAGATAAAAGCCAGTCAGGCTAGCTGTTTCCCTCTGTTCCTATTCTTTTATGCTAAGCTAATCAGTTGCTAGCTGTAGCTTCATATTTAATAGCTAGATATGGAGAGGGTGGTATCAGTCTTCTTCTGACTCAGCAAGAAAGCGAATAAGCCTAGTTCCCAAAACTACTCCTTTAAGTGGTGTCTACATTATAATGGATAGTTCTGACACTGATGAAGGCTGGACATCCCAATGTTTTCATTTCATCTCAGTTTAATTAGAAACTGTCTTTAATAGTTCATCTGTAAAGTTAAAATGTATTACAAAAAGTTTATGTAATACATTTACCATTTTTTTGCTGATAAACATTTTATGAATTATATATCAATATCTCAAAATGAAATTCATTCAACTTGTGAATAAAACAGCTCTTTTATTGCGCAAACTCAAAATAGTTTTCTTAAGTTTTTTTCTGCATCATGTCCCTCTCTACAGTTGGCTATTAATCAAATGAAGCCATGAAAAAAAAACCACCTACAAAAAAGGTACTGGTAAGTGCATAAAAGCCTTTGTGGAGCCTTTTTTCCTCCTTTCTACATTCAAAGGTTTCAGCAGTTTTCAGTGGGTGTCTTGGATGAATGTTTTCTCACATTTTTCTTATTAAGTACCTCAACCAGTTGAAAACCTGTATTTTCAACCAGTGGGTCATCAACACTTATTTCCCCCATTTTCAGTCTGGCTGACACCAGCTTGAGTCATCCCTTGACATCCAGCTCTCTGTTCTCCTCTAAGAAAAACTACTTGCTTCCCTCATCGCTCTTTTCCCTGTACTTGTCTTCCTCCTGTCTCCATTTGTTTGACTATTATTGTTTTCATTGAGCCTTAATTTACTATTTTATAAGGATATGGCTATTTATATATCTGATTTAATTTTTAAACATCTCTTCAGAAGACCGATATAAATGACTTGCTGATTGTTAGTTGGCTATGTGACATGACAGTGCAAATCACAGCTGAAATTACTGAGTATATATGTAAGTATGCTTGGCTCCATCTGTGCATTTACCACTGCAAATTAAAACAGAATTTCAACTTTGTATAAGATGTCAATCATTCAGAATGACCTGTGACCTGGTACAGTTTAAATAATATTATTTATTGAATGTACCATAGGACCGAGCTAGAGAAGAGAGTTTGTGGGGCGCTGGCATTAAATGTGGCACAATAATTCAATTCCTCATCAGCCCTGCAACTGAGTCTGTCATTGTTTAATTTTACATAAGAACACTGATGGTGAATGAATGTGTGATATGGCATAAATTATAAGGAATTTTAAAATAACAATATTGAAGTGTGAAATGTAAATTTTGACTGTTTATATTTTAAATATTTGCAAAATTTCAATCAAACATATTTAACGTTAGTGAAACATGAAGTAAAACGGTGTGTTGTCTGTATGTCCCTGCGCTTTTGTTGTCTGCATCTACCCAAATGAGTACATTTTGCCTACTTGCAAAGGTTTGAAAAGTGGTGCTTGGGTATAGAAGACAGAAAGCTTCCACAAAAAGAAAGGTTAGATGTATAAAATTATGTTGTCATTCCTCACGGTGTCCCCCCAGCCACTGTGTACCATTACTGAGAGAGCTTGTGCGTGTGTGACTGAGAGCACTCTGATTCATTTTCCAGCAACAGCAATAAAATACAATGATTTACAAGGTCCACCATCAAAATTTGCAGTTGCCATGGTAACAGTCAGCGGTTTTGAGCAAGTGGTTCTTGGGAACATAATACTAAAAGATATCTCTATTTCACCAGGGTTAGCTAATCCAGTCACTTCACATAGACATACTCTGAGTGTAAACTTCACTACACCATAGTACTTATTAGAATAGTTTAATAAAAGCCATCTTCAAAAGAAAAACATAAATGAGGGCTCCATTTTTTTTTTTTTTTTTTTAAACAAATGAATCTGGCTTGCAGTCATAATTTCCTGCAGATTAATCCCCAATCCCAGCTGACATCAGGCGCAAGGCGGGGTACACCCTGGACAGGTCGATATCTGAAACCAAAAGGAAGAAATTTTCATTTTGTATTAATTCCCCAAAATACCATTATCTCTGTCCATGTATATGGAGGTGCTCTGCTAATAACAGGCTAGATAGCTGCAGCACACTAAACAGCATATAGCCTTAACTTCTATGCAAATTTCACTTTGGCCCATTCAGAGTGCGTAATCTGTAATACTACTGCTAACAACATACACTGTAAGCTACAGTGCAAGTTTGTACTTTGTCTCACTTTCCCTGCTGGGGCTCACTGACACACCCCTCCAGCAGCTGAAAGGAAAAAGATTATTTCCCCAGAACTTTCTTTCAGCTATATAAAAAAACTACTGACAATTAACTAAAAATAAAAAAAGATGTTGACATTATTTTTGACTACAAAGGGATGACTAAATGTAATATCAGTTGGGCTTTAGATCATTATACATAGTAGACAAACAGCAGAAACTTCTAGTAATAAAGTTCTGTATCATGATGACTGGAGGGAATGAATATGCCACACCAAAGAGCTGAAATTGCAATATGTTTCACATTTATTTTCTCTTCCAACAAATTCCAGTGTAGTGTAACCCTGCTGTAAAACAAAAAAATAAACAGCAATTTACTTATCAATATAAAAATTCTTTACAGCATACACTTTGATCTTTGTTCAATGTGTTATCAGCGATGATGATTCAGAATGAACTCATTCAACTGTAGTGTTTTGTTTTTTCATGCAGCATCATCAGCCATTTTGTCCAACATGAAGACACTATTTTCTGCCAAGTTGGTAACAGTTTTGGTAATTTAACATGAGATACTTATGTGCTAATGTTTTTGTCAGTCCCACTGGTTTTAAGTGAGCAGGACTCAGTTGGAAAAAGGTGATGTGATACTAGTTGTTTAGGGGTTGTTTGCTCATGTTGCCAGGCCATTGTCGGTCAAATGTGACCAAACCACACCAACACAATCCTGATGAAGCAGATTAGATTTTGGTGTTAACTCATAATAAATAATAATCCCTCAAACTTTCATTTCAAGTCACAAATATTAATGTTGTAAGGACCTAAGATTTGAAACAAAGTTTTCAGGAGCTTTAATGTAGAAACTTAGGAGACCTCTAGCTAGAGTAAGGCTATGAAAGTAAGAAATAGAAGTTAAGTATCGTATGACAAATGGCTTTGGCCAGCTGCTAGAAGATCTACTCAACAGTGGCATGAAAGCACTGCTGTGGATTGCATGTTCAACTCATGTGCTTCATGATTTCTCTCTGGTTCCACTGAATTCCAGTCCCAGCCACACAAGTCTCTGTCTGCATAGTGCTATGTCATTATGTGTTTGACCTTATGTGAAGAACATGCAACAGGATCTTATATTTCTATCCTGTTGTCTTGTGTATATCCTTAATTTCCTGTGGTGCGAGTTCTGACATTGTGTGCTGTTTTCCAGCAGTGTTTTGCACATGTTGGGGGGGGGGGGTGAACAAAATGATTCACAGAAACCAGATGTGTTTCAACATGAGCCCAAACTAGAAAAAGTCCACTGTTATTTCTGCAATTGTTACAGCTCAGCAGCACAGTGTTGTAGAGATGTTTTTCTTGCTGTCTTGGCACAGAAATCAAGTGTAATGTGAGTCGCTATAAAGGCATTAATCACCCTGCTGGAATTCTAGGGCTGCACATACAAATGCAAGAGATCTTTAGTCAGACATTGGGGGGACCAAGTGGGGGCGGTAAATGTAATGATTTACATTTTTAAAGTTGCAGTAAGATACTAATGGTCTGTGTTGCTGGTTTGAACAGTTTGTGTCTGTCAGTCAAATTCCTCCTATGTGTACTCACACCTAGCCAATAAAAGTGATTCTGATTCTGAAATGAAACTGCCTGATGCCTATGGGATCATGATTATGTTATTTGATCCCATGTATCAAGCTATCTTTGTTCAACAATTGAGTGACATAAGTATAGTGAAGACATAACTTCAGACTACACCAAATACATATTGGTCTGTCCTATGGCATTAGTTTCTGACTCTGGGAAATTGGAGTACAGTAAACAGTAAAATTCCCCAAAACTACTGAATCTCTGAACTCCCCTTTTAACCAAATCACACACATTTAGACTAGTCCATGTGTAAACTAATCAAATGTAATTGGAGCCCCTCTGGGGAGGCCTGCCTCCTGCTTCAAAAACCCTCCGATGTATTCTGTCACTCCAGAATCAGCAGGTCGGCCTGGCCCCTTATACAGTCTGTCACTGGAAGGAGCCAATTGTCTCACCTGTCAGTCTGTCCCCTGTTTGTATCCTAATGCCCACATGCCTGAAACAAACGGCAATTAGGACCGTGTGCCTAATGCGCGCCTGGCGCAAGCGATCTTGTGCGTTTTGACCAACAACATAATAATCTGGTCGTTCACAGCGACTGGGCTTTATGACAAATCAACTACAGCTACACGCATTTGGCAAAAGAAAAACATGCTCATCAAGAGCAGTTATACTGATTTAGGCTATGTCTCCAGTAATGTGAGCATCAGGGCTGGTGCAGTTAAGCAGTCTGTGTTTTACTTGTGAAGACTTGCGAATGGTCAACTTGTGTAGCTACTAGAGACCCGTGCATGGCACGCGGAGGATTATTGAACGACCAAAAACGTTGGCAGCTTTTTAAGCCGCGCACACTGTTTACTATTGCTGGTTGTCATGTAGCCTACACCAACATGAAGCAGAAGAGTTATGCTAAGCACCCGGTGCGTTTTTCAGTAGGTTTAACACAGAATTTTGGGGAGATATCTGATCTCCCCAAAACTTTCTTTCAGCTTTTATTGGATCTGATGACGGTGTCTGGCCATTACAAATATTGTGGGTGGGTGGAGGCTTGGTTCATACAATGTTTGTGCTCTCACTGTATGAACCATGGATGTCCTGAAATGCTGCAGCCTGGATTCATGTTTCTAAGATCACTGCGTTAGTTGACATAAAATGGCACGTTTCCTCTGAAATGCAATGCGAATTTCTTTTTTAAAAAAAATAAAAATGAACCGGTAACTTTAACAGCAGGGTAGGAAGAGGGGAAAAAAACGTCTGGCAGCAGTCGATATTAAAAACATGCAGAGGGAGACAAGCTCGGGGCCTTCCAGAGTCAGGAAAAAGACTTCGGAGAGCAGCACACAGGAGATGGGTATGGCATTTCTATTTTCCCCCAGCCCATTGATTTGTATATGAAAACATAGCGCTTTTATTCTCCCCCTTCTGGGCTCTGCTTCTGAGTGATCAGCTGATGAAGAGACTAGCAGCTCGCCGCTATGCTGGCTTGCTAATTCTCTCCCCCACAGCTGCAGCCGATCCTGATAGCCAGCCTGCAGATTGCAGTCAGGTAAATATCCTCCTCCATGTCTTTCTTCTCAGGCTCAGGATTCAGCCAGGCTACATCGCATGGGAAGAGAGGAAGAGATGGATAAAATGAGTGTGTGCGCGCGCGCGCCAGGGAAAGAGAGCGAGTGTGTCTGTGAGTTTATTCGTGTCCGTCTAAGTGTGTGTGTGTGTGTGTGTGTGTGTGAGTGAGAGCAGGGGGGAGAGAGGGAGTGTGTAGGTGTGTTGTAACAGATGAGAGGGAATCTTTGCCAGATTAGTCAGGGTAGAGGCAGGCTTGTTAGGAGATAGCACAGGCATGGAGCATCACATGCACTCACTGACACCCTTCCCCGCTCACACATGCACAGTCAATCAGGCAGCTCTCAGCTGGGTTATGCATCTTTGAGGATTACCCTCTATCCCTCCAGTATTCTGCTGGAACGATTGCAGCCCCTTAGAGAGAGTAGCGGGGCTTTCAAAGCCTTCATTTGAGCCGAGCGATGATGAGCAGGATTTCTATTGTTACCTCTCTTGTGTTGTTGTCTCCTGTAACTCAATTATCTGCCATGTCTTTTGGTTCGGAAGTGCAGGCATGCGGTCTGTTTTTTACTGTATCAACATCAGTCCTGTTTTTTAGGCTTGGCAAATATTATTATTATTATTGTTTTGAAGTAATAATTCTGCATTCCTGTTCCTCAGACCAGTGTGTACAAAATACAATATTTCAACATGTTTTCATCTCTGTCCTTGAGAAATACATCTTCACAAGCGCATGCTCTGTGATATGATTTGAATGCTGGTGTGTGTTCTGTATGAGCCTGTATGATTCAATATTCTGTTCAGATTGGACAGCATGCCTTCTGTATTTCCTCCTCCGTCTCTCCCGCTGGGTTGCTGTTGCTGCTGCTCTTGCTGCATGCATACTCGTGTTTCTGGCCTCTAATTGCCTTTGTGGAAAATACAGCGGTTGCAGCAGATATTCGAAACGCAGTGATGAAATGGTTGAAAATATCTCAGCATGCAGCAGGCGCTCTTGTCGAACACCACACACCTAAGATTATGTTTATATTTCAAATATCTTTATGAACCAGGAAAACATAGGTTAATATTTATGGCATTATGAGCATTTTTAGGCTTTGTGCTTTGGTATAATATGGTAAATGTATTCATATTCATTGTGCATTATAAAAAAATCTGCCTTCCCTTGATAATCATCTGATATTAAAGCCTTCAGATAAAATAATCTGTCCTAAATTTGCAGAGACAGCACAGTAGTTGGGTCTCTCCAGTCCATGCAAATTCAGATGCTATTGTAATAAATAAATAAACCCTCTTTCATTTTAATACAAAACCATAGGCTGTAAATCTGCATGCTTAAACTCCAGCCAGTACTGCTAATTAGCTTGAGACTGTGAGTGCCTTAATTTGAGGTTTTCAGATTTAGACTCCTTGGTGTCTAAAGTGCTTTAGGTTTCTGTCTTTGTGGCAAGTGAAGGTCTGAAAACATATGCTGTGTGTACAGTGGTTTCTGAGATTCTGAGCATCCCAACTAAAAATCAGAGGAAGAGTTCAAATGAATGGGAATGGAAGAGTTTTGAATGAAGATCGGTCACAGTTCTCCTTTCCTCCCATTTTCCAGTTGTTATTTTCCTTGTAACACTGAACTACAAAAGAAGAACATGACAGGCTTTGTGTGTACAATATATACAGTACACGTTTTTATACTACAATGTTTCATTCGCCTTACTCTTGTTTCTCAGAGTTTGTTAGCTGTCCCCACTCATTGCTCCCTCTTCCTGCAGCCTGAGGCAGGAGAGAACGGTTCCCTGGAGGAGATGGAAGAGGACATCAGTCTGAAGAAGCGTAAAAGCGATCATCATGGTGAGAAAGAACTGCAGTCTGGGCAGGAAACAGGCGAAAAAGTCAAAAGGAAGCGAGGACGCCCACCAGCAGAGAAACTGCCCCCAAATCCACCTGAACTCACCAGAACACTGAGCACACTGGTAGACATGGTTATCAACTACAAGGACGGGTGAGGGCGCTAAATTTTTTGTGGCCTCTGTCATGACACTATGATGCAACTATATTAATTGTTAATTATGAACTAGCTGTGGAAAAAAATGGTTTTGCTTTTACAGACATCTTTAAAAAGTGTTGTTTACAGAAGACCAGGGTTCCGTGGAGGCCAGTTCACACTGCCCCCGTTGACTTTGTTGACTTTGTTGACTTTGTTTAACTGTGTTCCTTGCATTCTGTCTGAGCACAAACATCAACATCTTCTTTCTAAGCTAAATCGATCCAACGTCAATGTAGCAATCAAGTTGGTATCGTGGCAACTTTGTCATTTAGAGATTAGAAGATATTTAACCCGTGTTTGTGAGAAAACAATGGTTGATAACTGCAGATAACAATGTGATTAAATCATTATCTTGGTGTAACAGCCTTGAAATGGAAAAGCACCCCAAAAGTGGAATTTGTTACCCCAAGATAATGAGATACATCATGATCTCAGTGTATGTGTCATTCTGGTCTTCTATAAATGTCAATCATATTCTGACGTATTGATAAAACATTCACATTGTGCTTCCAGGTTGGGTCGACAGATCAGTAAAGGCTTTGTGCAGCTTCCCTCCAAGAAGGAGGTACCTGAGTATTACGAGCTGATCCGAAAGCCTGTCGACTTCAGAAGGATCAGGGTACGTGTCACCGAACACCCTCAGAACTTAAATGCAGATAGCATTGTTATCTGGTGAAAGAAACTCAAATAAATGGAGCTGGAACTCCAACATATATATAATACAGTAAAAAGTAAGTAAAAAATAGAAGTGTCTGTATTGATTATCCAAAGAACTCTTTTGGTAAATATGATTGAGAAATTAATAAATTGTGCTTAGCTTAACAAGTAGCCTATAGTTACCACTTAATCATTTTCATATATGGCATATTATTTCTTTGTATTACCTACTTTGAATTATCAACATTTTAGGTATCTTCTGCTCAGAGTGTTACAGTTTAACGATAGAATAAACACCAAAAAGAAAACACTACATTTCAAATATATAGAATAATATTGTAGCTACTACTACTAAAACTACTAAACATTTGCTGCCTGTACCAGAGGTGAAGGAGTCTAGTGACATGAGGCAATTCCCAAATTTAAAGATTTGAGATTTACTTGAATAAAGACTGACTTGGTATTTATGTTTTTGTGCCATGAGGCACTTGGTGACGGTGACATTAATGGACAAAATCTTTTTATTTAATATTGCATGCTACATAATTTTATTTTAGCTCTAGATGTTAAGTAAATGTATGCACCAAGACTGAGAGTCCACAGCTACGCTAGTGTACAGTGAGCTTAAACGTCAGCATGCTAAAATGGTGACAATGCTGATGATCCTGCTAGCTGAAAAGTTAAAGGATCATGAAAGTTATTACAGTTCATATAGAGGGGACATGATTGTGTGTACCAAATGTCATTGCAATTCATCCAATAGTAGTCAAGACTTTTTTTTTACTCAAAAAAACAAATGTCAATCTCATGAGGAAATACAAGGCAAAATCTTTAAGATTCATGCTCTGGGAACCATGAATGTGTGTACCTAGTTTCATGGCAATCCAACATATATGTAGTTGTTGAAAAATTTTAGTCTTGATCAAAGTGATGGGCCGACCAACCTACCAACATTGCCATCCATAGAGCCACGCCTTTAGCATGGCTACAAAAGAAAACTGCATCTTAATTTCTTGACAGAATGGGTCAAAATAATTTCTGACACACACATAGCAAAAATAACCATTAACAACAGCTAACTAGCCAACACATTTTAATGACACCACCAACAGGATCAACTCCAAAAATCCTTAAACTTCACATGAATAACAAGCTATCAAGTAGAAAGGAGATGAATAGTCCTACTTGGTAGCATATTTACGTTATAGCTACTAACTATATTTTGTGTTGCTAGGTATTCGCCTCAAAATAGGTGACACAACATGTAAAACATCCTGTGTAATCAGCCAAAACATAACCACAAACACAGGTGAGGCTTAATTTTACAAGCTTGTTAGCTACACAAAGTTTGAGCTGTAAGGTTGGGATTCAGTAGCACATCAAAGGGTCTAAAAAATAGAAGAGATAAAAAATTCATCAAATCATCTACTCACTCACACACCCTGGGGCCGTCACACAGTAAAATATGTATGAATGAGTACAAGTGGTCTTAAATCACACACTCACCACAGCACCTGTACTCTAATTAAAGCATAGTTCACACATGAATTATCAAATAAAGTGGCAAAGGAAATATGGAATTCTTCTATATTCTTATTATTGTCAACAAAGACCCAAACCACATTGTGTTTGTCCATCTCTCAATACTTTTGCAAATATATAGTTTAATTTTTATTTAAAAACAGATTGAGTAAATAGTGCATTTGGGGGACTATTTTCTGGGGCGGATTAATAAATATTGGGGCAGTAGGACATGTGGGATTGGCCAAAGTTGTTGGCTTTGGTATTTTCACTGGGCTCGGCCAAGCAATAATGCCTGCGCATAACTCGCATTAAAACCCAGAATTTCAGCTTTTGTACAGATTAAACCATGAAAGAGGTGCTAGTGGACAGATTCATTTTACCTTTGGACAGAGAGAGACTAGCTGTTTCCCCCTGTTTCCAGTCTTGCCAGCTTAAAATTTAGTGTACAGACATGATTATGAACTCTCGGCAAGAAAGCAAATAGGGAATATTTCTCAAAATGTTAAACTATCTAATGAAGGGAGGAAAAATGTATTTTTTGTTTACCCTCATAAGAATACCTTCTCTTGGACTACTACTTATTAAATGCTTTATTGATAGCTGATAATTTCTTTGCAATAGTCACACTGAGGTTTTGATACTGATCCTCTGCTTCACAGGAACGTGTACGTAATCACAAGTACAGAAGTGTGGGAGATTTGGAAAAGGATATTTTCCTCCTTTGTCACAATGCTCAGACTTATAACCTGGAGGGATCTCAGGTGAACCCCAAGGAATTCTTTCATTTGAAAGCAACAAATTCATTTTTCATAGTCTCCATTCTGTTATTGTTGTCATAAATGGGTTTGGATCTTGAGGTGGTGAAGAACAGCCCATACTTTGTTTGAATGTGCGTGTGTGTATCTGCCTTTGTGTGTTGCATGTGTCTCTGTTTGCCACTGCAGATCTATGAAGATTCAATTGTCATTAAGTCTGTCTTCGAGAGCGCGAGACAGAGAATTGTCACAGACGAGGAACAGAAAGAGACGGTTAGCGCCACTCACAGCGATAATGGTGGCGGAGCTGAAGACCAATTTGTTCCATCAGCAGGTGAGAGTTAAAACACATCAATATCAGGAGGGGTGATGTTTTTACAAGTGACCAAATGAAAACAAATAGAAGACAAACGTTCTGTGGTTTAAAAAATGTTGATAAAAGTATTGTTTGCTATAGTCATTCTTACATTTAACCACTTGACTTTTGAACTACGCGAGCATTTGAAAATTGCAAATACAATATATTTGTATTAGACTCATCCTACTGTCTCTTTTTGTAACCAGTGAAACCATTACCAGTCCAGCTAAAGAAGGGCAACAAGGAGGAGAGAAGCAGAATTACTATGGCCAAGAGGCTCCACAGTGATTTAGACAGTGATGAGGATCTAGAGGACAACACCACAAAAGATGAAGGTTGAACTGAAAGGCCCTCAGTTTTTTGTATTCTGGTTCATGTCTATTCTCTGCCACATCCCTTTTCATTGGTTTCTTCATTTTCTAAGCAAAAGAAATGTCTTTGACAATAAAATAAGAAGGACCATTCAAAGAGAGGCACTTACGGAACAATGCTTCAATATATGTCTTGCTGTACATAGTTCTGTTCCTTTAATTTAGCTGGTCTTATATAATAATTTCCATTTTATCTGCCTTAGTCTTTGTGATTGCTTCTGCAAATATTATGTAAAACAACAGTTTCACTGACTGTTTTTAATCCATATATTTGATTGTATGAAATGCCTTCATATGTTTTGGAGCATGATATGTACATCTCTCCTGAAGCTGGCTCCTCCAGAGCAGCACCTGCTGATGACAATGTTGATGTGTTCAGGGATCGAGAATTGAAGCACACAGGAAGGTCTTTTTAAAGAAAACAAGAACAAATGAACACTAAGTTTGTTTAAAATCTCTGAATGTTAATTTAGAGATGATACATCTTTGATAAAAACCATAGTGGAAGTATAATGGTCAGAGAGACTTGATAAATACTAGTACTGATAGTATTACTTTTGTCTGTTTCTGATACTTGATGGAATACGTTTAGGTCTAATCAAGGGTACTCAATTTGAACATTTGTATCCCTTGTGCTACAGTATATTCACATGTTGTACAGTTTGTGTGAAAAGTAAGTAAAAACAAAGTTTCTTTTCATTTACTCTCCTGGTTGTTGGGGAGGATGGAAGACATCATTGTTAAGACAATCCCTGGAAATGTGTATCACTTAAACACTTGCGAAATAAATTTTACCAAAATTCCTGTTGGTTGTTGTTATTATTAGTAGTATTTAACAGAGTAGTAGACATTTTAGTAATACTTGTTGTAGTCACAAAATGTATGAAATGTATAAATCACTCTGGATCTGGAAAGTAGTCGTCAAAGGATAAAAAAATGTGGTTGGGAAGGTTTACATTTAAATATAATTCAAGTATTCAGTCACATTTAACCTCCACATTAAGACAGGAGGTACTATCAGAGTCAGCATTATTCCCTTTAGAGTGTAATTACTGTATGTGATGTGTATTTTTGACAATGTTCCAATAGGTGGTGCAAGAGAACCGTTTGATTATCTCTGTGTTTCTGTGTTGATATAGATGTAGTGACTACTGATACCAGAAACAATCAGGTAACAGTTCAAACTACCAAAGGGGGGGGGAAAAACAGCACCTCTGAAGCTCACTAACATGCTTCATCTCCCTTGTTTAATCTGTGCACAGATGTAAAAACATCGGCTTGTGGTTTTATGGGAGTTACATGCTGGTTTCTTGGCTGTGCACACTGACTGAGCCAATCGTCTCCTGCCTCTATCTTTCTATCATTCTTAAAGCTAGAGTAGGAAATTCCATAAGTCTGAATGAAATGGTGAGTTGGCTTACCTGCCATCTACCTGCCTACCTGTGTTGTTGGGGTATGGCTTTGGAGGGAGGCCTAAAGGGAGGGGTGGAATTTTTTTCTGGTTGGATACATTTAAAATCTAGCTGTCTCTTGCTAGTTTCTCCAACATTGCCCAAACTAGCATTAATGGACAGATATGAGGTATAGATCTTCTCATATAACTCTCACCAAGAAAGCAAATAAGTGTATTTTCCAAATGTTGAACTATTCCTTAAAAAATACATTAAGTCATTTTGAAACCATGTCTGCTCGCTGGAGGGAAGAAAGGCTCCAAAACAACTTAAAGCAGTTTTCCTTTGGTTTGTCATGTTCTTATAGCTAAGTTATCAGCAAAAATCCACCTACACCTCCAGCAGACACACAGCATGTGCCATTGGAGTTATCTTTCTGACCACCTGTTGAATCTAATCTTTTGACAGTATGTTGTGCCAGGTTTGGTCATCAACCTCCTGAGAAAAACATATAAATCTCTTTTGCTTCCTAGATGTTCAATTAACTTCACCTGCCACCTGTTTACTTTGGTTCTCCACAGTGTCACGCTGTAAAAGGTGGCATACAATGGGCTTTTGTGAGCATTTTAGAGATCATTCAAGAGTGGCTTTCCACAGTATTTTGTTAGGAAAAGAGCTGTTCGGATTTAACCTTTTGGGCTGAAAAAAAAAGCTGAAATCTAAAGAGAGATGCACCCTAAGCTGATTCTCTCTGGGATTCTTTATATTCCAACCTTTCAAATTTCAGGGAGTTTTTTGAGTCAGTGGTAAGATGTTGTTCCACTAGTGACTGGGTTTAAAAAGTGCGTGAGCATCTGGGTGCAGGGATAGGTGGCTAATGTTATGTGCTCACAATGAAATTCATTGTCACACCATCTCTAGTACACAAATGCATGTCATTGCTGGGGTTTGAGTGAATGTAAAATATGAAGCCATGGCTATTATAGATCCAAGCAGATAGTGATAAACAGCGTTCAGCTTGAGTTAAGACCTGTGTGACTGGAAAAACATACATTTTTAATGTGGTCTCTTTGGCAGCTATTTTTAAGTGAGTCTGCTTAAGGATTTAGCTATGAACACAATTTGTACCTTAGGGCTTTATTCAGAGTACTCATGATGTGACATCACCAAAAAGTAAATAAAAACCTGCACATTGGTACTCAGAAATTATTTTCTATTATCACTAATGGCAACGTGTCTCCCTGAACTTCACAGATGCAGGCAGTGTAACAAAAACACCCAATACAGTGTCTAGTTTTCCACCAGCCTATAGATTTGATAGACAAGGACAAAATGACATGGGAGATGTCACAGATGAAATTTTGGCAACATAGCTCATTATTGCAGTGCTTTCTGACAGTTCACTCACAAGTCCGTAGGTCGAAGCATCCTTCGAGTGTACGATCATGAGTACTGTCTGCTTGCAAATATGTGAGTAGGTTTTGTGCCACTGTAAAATGAATGGAACTCACTGAGAGACAGGACCTAAAAATTGATGGTTGGCTGTGTTGGAGAATGTTTTGCAGTGAAGAATGTGCAAGTGATCAATGGGATAAAGATGCAAGGTATAAAATGTGTTGTTACAATGCTATTTTATTAGAACATATTACCTGTCTTCAAAAATATTTTTTATTTCCATAGTACTCACAGTTATCACACAAATGTGAGATATACATTTTAAATTGTAGATTTTTATACTATTAGTACTCACTGTATTTAATTTGAGGAAATAGTTTTGGTCACAATGTTGAAACATTTTCAAAGTAAGCAACCACAAGATTAACATTTTGCTTATTGCTCAAAGGGTCATGTTTTTTACAATAGAAACTCAGCAGACATGTAGCCTAGGTGAGATTTAAACACACAGACAAACACTTTTTTTTACTATCGACATACATTTGCATGTCTTGTGATCTCAGGAAGGGCTTCGAACTGTATGCTAAATGCCAGACGGAATCAACATTTGTTTGAAATCACCATCTGCTGTTCCTTTTGTTTGTGAGAGAATGTAAGCGGAGAGATTTTGAATGTCGAGAGAAAACTGTATCTTTCTCTCCATGGCAACGTACATAAAGGATTGATTCATCACATCTTTGACTCCATACCTCTTCTTTGGGAAGAAATTTTCTTTCACACAAGACTAAATAAACTACATAAATTAATTTACAGTATTTAGATATATGCTCCTTAACATTTAATGAAGTGCAGATTGTCAGAAGAACAAGAACATAGAGATTAACAATGTCCTTGTTGTGGGGCAGCTAAAAGGCGTGGGCTCTTACTGTAAATAGCTCTGGGAAACAAAGTGGCACCCATGTCTTCTTGATGAAAATCTCACATAAAAGGACATAAACCTAATGGATGAGAAGACATGGACATATTGCTGAAGGTAGACACACTAATGGCTTTTGGAGATTAGTGGGCCCAGAAGGTGATTTTAATCTGTTGAGAAGACAATCCCTTTTCTCTGTACACATGGGACACAGGTTTAATAGAAGGTTAGCGTGGTCCACATTACGCTAATCACCTGTAATATTTCACATTTCACCTCACTGCTCTTTTAACTGTCACAGATAATGTCAACACCAACATTCATCTTCAATTTCTCATCATTTGTACAACATTTTACATTTATTTTTTAATTGGTTTATACAGAACAGTAAAACCCATTGCTGTCTTCTGTTACAGTACACTAATCATGGATATGAGAGGACTGCTGTATCAAGAAATGAGTACAAGATTATAGGATACAGCAGCTTGAGGAATAACGACCTAAATGTAAAAGTCAATAACTCAATTATTGTATTTCCTGTGCCGGTGTTGCTGTTCTCTGCTTCACTAAGTACATACTGTGCATCTATAAACATTATGATCTTGGTGAAAACATCCAACATACTGTATAGAAAAGGGTTTTCAGTGACATTTGAGAAACAATATTGTCTGTGGTGTCTGTCTGTGGTAATGTTCTGATTCAGCTATATTGTTAGGTGCTATTGACTCACTGCTATTGTTTTAGGGTGGCTGCACAATCTGCCCCTTTTGTGGCTGAAAACAATGCCATCCTAGCCAAATGAGGTGTTTTAGAAGGATTGTATAGGCCTACAGCTGTGTGTCAAATTAACCAAACAACTTCTCTGGTGTTTTGTACTGCTCCACAACAATTTCTGTCTAATAAGTTGACATGAGATCAGATCAGATGACATTAAATGAGATCAGATTAAATGATATGAGATGAGATGACATGAGAGTGGATGACATGAGATAACATGAGATCTGATGATGCGGGATGAGATGCCATACGTCTGCGTGGGTTCTCTCCGGGTGCTCCGGCTTCCTCCCACTGTCCAAAGACATGCGGACTAGGTTGATTGGTGACCCTAAATTGTCCTTCGGTGTGAGTGTGAGCGTGAGTGGTTGTTCGTCTATGTGTGGCCCTGTGATGGACTGGCGACCTGTCCAGGATCTACCCCGCCTTTCGCCCGATGCCAGCTGGGATTGGCTCCAGCCCCCCGCGACCCTGTACGCAGGATAAGCGGTTGACGATGGATGGATGGATTCAGCGAAATCTTACATGTGTATTGTGTGTGGTCTTTCTCTTGCAAACCTAAAATAATAATGTGAAGAATACACAATTATTTCTTTATAGCCTATTCTACTTTTTCTCTTAAAAAGCCTTCACTTATTCTCTGCTGAATTACCACTGAGACTTAAGAATATAGTCATTACGAACAGACTGTCACAACATTCTGTCTTGAAACTGCCCATTTTTAATTAGCGAAGTGTCTGAAGTTTTTTTTTTCCATAATGCAAACAAGCAGCAAAGAACATTGGTAGTACAGTATGTTCATCCATTTTTTTTTTCAAATACAAACATCAAAGTATGAAATAAGCCCAAAAGGGTGGTTGAAATATTTATGTATATGTATTTATGTGCCAGGCAGGTTCACACATAAAAGCTATCATGTGTATTCATATACCTTCACAGTTTGATCTTTTGAGTAACATTTTTCTTTTTCTGTACATCCTTCTTGCGGATAATTGATAAAGATCCCTGTTCAGTGCAATCTATTTGCAGGTTAGCTAAGAACAAAACATAAAAACAGTATGGTATTCCTCGGTGACCAGCAGAACAGTGTGAAAACAATGACAGGAATGTGTGTAACATCCCGTGCATGTGTATCCCTGTGCATGATACGAACCAAAAAGGAACCTACTCTTAAAAATATTGCTCCGTAGCGCTACTAGTGGTCATAACAATTCACAAGTGCCTTTCAGATTTTGGTGCAAGCACATCTGTAACTTGCCAAATGTTGCCCCCAAGAAAGTGAATTGACACTTATTTTAGTAACGATAGTACAAAATAATATCTGTACA